TAAAGTACAAGCTTTAACATGTATATAATATATATAAAATTTAAGTAATTTAAAAAATTTTAATTAATTTTATTTTAAAAAAAATTATATTATAAAACAACATTATATATTAATATGTTAAAATGTTTGAATCTAAATAATATCTGGGTAATTTAAACGTTAAAAACTGTATTGATGCAATAATATGTAAAAATGAATATTATTTAAATTTATAGTTTTCGAATTTTATTATATAATTATACCATTTTTTTTCAAAATACATAGAAAATATAAGTTTTTTTTATAGAAAACATAAGTTTTTTGTAATATTTAAAAACGGTAAAAAAATATTTTTAAGACTTATACATGAATGATAACAATACATTTACATAAACTATTATCATCTATTGCGTATTTAATAATTGCGACCTTCACTATTGGCAATTTGTGATCATTGCGAAAATTGAATATTTCCATGCATATGTCTTATCGAACTGTAATCATATAGTTATACGTGCCATTAATAATAATTATATTCAATTATATTCAACAATTATATTCAATATAAATAATTTCGCTTTAAATATTTTTTGAATAAAATTTTGATATAATTATGATATTATAGACACTTTTATTTTAACTACATAATAATAAAATAAAACATCGCTATTATATAAAATATTTATAATAAATAATAATAATCTTTCATATCCATATCGTTAAAAACATTTATTACTAAAATATCGTCAATATCATTATTCAAATATCATTATTCGTTTAGTTTCAATTATATATATATATATATATATATATATATATATATACACATATATATTTAATTTAAAAAATTGTGAACTGTGAACGTATTCGATTGAAATAGTATAATCACATTTAAAAAAAAAGAAATATGATCTCTCGAAACCTTGTTACGTACTTCTCATTTAACGTAATTGGCTGAATTCTGTTAAACGATAAACGGCTCTGTTGTACGAAGAGATAACTACATTTCCGCATATTGGACTTCTCCATCTACGCGAAACCGGTGAAATCGAAAATATGATTCGCGTCTGTAGTTGGATAGTCTTCGTTGTTTGCCATCACTTGTGAGACTAGATACGTTCTAGACTTTCAGAAATTGTATGATTGAATAAATATGCTGTTAACTATAGAAGAAAGTTTTAATGTAATATTTGGTCTGACCCGATAACCACAGAAATGAGATGAATAATTCTGTAACCAAGTTTTTAAGATTACATTTAAGATGTGAACAAGAAACTTTAGATACAAGTTAAACATATAAATATTCTTATTTTTATAGATTTAAAAAATCTTGCAATAAGAAAATAATTTTAATTATAATTGCAATTAACTAACTAATAGATCATCTTTATTCAAAATTCTGCTTATACAATTATTATGTGTGTATAACATCTTGATAATCACATGTAACAGATTTATCAGCTTTTTATTTATAATTATATGAATGTAGCTAAAAGTTTTATATATCATTTCAGTTATCTATGTATATAAGCAATGAATATAAATGCAGATTAAAGAAAAATAAAATTATCATTCATATACAAACATCATAATTGATAAACAGATATTAGAAACGTATATATACATTATATATGGCAGCCCAAATAATAAATGCAATACATGATCATATATATTTAATGAAAATCCAACATATAATTTACGCAAAAATATATAGAGACAAGAAAGATTTTGAATAATTATATCTTATGCACAATCGAGATTTAAAATCCACGTACGTAAGACATTATTAAACTAAATGGTAACTTATATAAGACCAAAGCATAACGCATTAAGAGGAATATGTCGTACAAATGCAATCAACTGAACTTCCGACGAAGCAATATCTCGACTGCAGTCAAAGAGGAATATATAGAGTACCAGAACGTAACTCGTAATTCTATCACTTCATGGTTTACCTTGTCGCAAGAGACTGACACTTTCGAGAGAACTTAGAAACAAGTTACGATTCTATGTTAGACAAGAACGAGACAGCATTATAGTTTGCACGTGTTTTATCTCTTTTCTTCTATCTCTGTTTTCTATTTTATACTACGAGAATATTTGAACAATACACTTTATTATAATAATTACCAGTTCATATTATATCATTTTGTCTATCTAAATTTATCCGTTTTTCTTTTTCAACATAAATAAATTATCGTCAAAATTGTAACAGATTAGAAAATATGTTTATTTAATGTGAAAAATATTTTTTATTATAAACTATTGATTTTTCTTATCAATAAATAAAACAAGTATTTTAAAAATAATATTTTGTTTATACTATAATTTGTTAATGTGAAGATTTTATATTAGCAAAATTTATTAGATTGCAATATAAGAAATATGAATTATATTAAATATGATTATAATTATGTTAATATGATTAAATATTGAATAATATAATAGTTACACAATAATTTTCAAGAAAAATTTGTTCATCTCTTTTTTCACATTATAATTCGAGATTTTTCATAATACAAGAAATTTTGCTTTGTGTGAAATTAAAAGGATACAGATAAATGTATAAGACGAAGACTAAGATGCTCAATTTCAAAGAGGACTAAGTGGACTATTCTGTTACATTGAAACATTTTTGTGACTCACCCCGAAGAGAAATTTACTCGCCAGTGGAAAATACGTATTCTGACAGGTAATCTCCGCAAAACATTCGGCTCTGAGGTGAGGTCGGGTTATATAACCTAAACAGAAAAATACGTTGTGGAAACACGAAAACTTTGTTGCTGGGACCAGATAACGTTTCTTTTCTCTTTCTTTCTTTTCTTCCATCCCGATGTTTCCGATACAGAATAAGGCGCGTACTCGATATAGCGTACGATGCGCGGCTTTACGATACTTCGTGAAGAAAGTGGATCAGTGGATCCTGTATGCATTTCGGTGTGTTGTACAAACCGCTCGTAAAGCGTGACAGTAATTTGAAAGAATAGATATAATGTCACATTCGTTTGCTTCTTTTTTTAGGATTGTTCCTCTTTCGTGGCAAAAAATCGAACCAAGTGGCATGCCAAGTAGTTTGTGCTTATAAATTCCAATTTTCACTCAGACCGAATGTAGAATATAGAAGTTCTCTCGCTTTTGCGATTTTTACCGAAATGAATTTCTATTTTCGTTTCAAACGAAAGAATTCTGCAATATATAACCATACCTTAGCTATGAATCATTTTTTTTATTTCGTGTAAATTAATAGCTCTTTAATTTATATTTTTACAACCGAAGAAGAAGAAGCTTTGCGAATTCTTATTCTTCGGTACGACGAATGCGTTTTCTGTCGTAAGACAGTGTAGCAAAGCGAAGAGAAACCGGAGTCTGATATTCAATTTTAAAAGATATTTTCTCTGGGAAATGCGAGACCATCTGTCATAGAAGTTCCAACGCAAAATTTCATTTATCTACTCTTACTCCCATTATGATATCAATTTGGAGTTATACAGATCCATTGTTTACTCTCATATTACTTACGCTGCCTTTTACTGTCCCATCCATTTGGGGCTTTCTCCTTAGATTTATAGGTATCCTTTCAGAAAGAGCAAATATATCCTAGTACGTACGTACTCCAAGCTTTGATAACAAGAATCAAAACTTTTGAAAATAGAGTACAGTACTACCGCTCTACGTGGATAACCGATCACACCTTAAAGATAGCATTAAACCGAGCTTCATGTGCCGATTATCCAACATTCGAGACAAACTCGGAGCCGTCTTATCGCTGCAACTCTTCTCATAAAGATCCCGGTGCATGTATCGCTTTTAAGTCTGTATATGTGCTATGTAATTTCTCAGTCTAGTCTTTTGATCGTGCTTACAGATTAATCAGCGTTTGTCTAAACGATGTTAAATTATTGTTTATGCGATGATTTATACCACTACGAAATTATATATACATATTTCTTAATCACAGCAGTTAGTCCCAAAAATGTTGAAAGTCGGATATTTCGTTCGAATGAACAAACACCATTCGTTCGTGACGTAAATCTCCATCTAAATACTGAAAAAAAAGTACCGAGCAGTACTTTTGGTCCTTTACTCTTTAATTAGATCGTCTGCAAAGTTCCGGTTAAATTCACATTACGGCGCAACGAACGAACGTTCCGCGGGTGGGGGTGGTAGTCGAGACTAACTTGCATAATTCAAGTCGCCAAGGTAAACGGCTACAGCATCTTCGCAAGTCCGCCAACAGCTCGCGTTGTCAAAATATGCTCTGGTATGTTAACAGGGAAACTACTCAAGTCGAATCGTTCGTGTTTGCCTCGGATGGAAATTTTAGATTCATTAATGGTTCTCTTGTTTTTGCCTATCTTAAATGTGCATACAAAATATCTGCAATATTTTTTTCTAGGCAATTTCTCTAAATATATTTTATTATTATACTATGTTTTAAGTATTAAGCTTTTTTACAAAGAAAATAAAGAAATTGACGTAAGTAAATTGCA